CACACCCACTGGGTGACTACTATAAATCCCGGAAAGGAAAAGTTTTTGGTAACATATCCAACAGAGCAAACGATGGTCGACTGACCTGAACATTGCTTTGGAGGGCAGAACTGGCGTCATATGCCGCCTGGCTCGCATCCCGGATGGTCTTCAGCTGCTCCATCATGATTCCCGCCTGGCGTATTGCCTCCTTCGCCGCGCCAGCTTGGTCCTCCGGGACATGGTGCATTGTGAAGAGGGAGGGCTGCTGAGCACTCGTCAATGGATCTGCGAAGGACACCGTGTGTCGAGTGGTGTTCCCTTCCTCCGCAGTCGGAATCTCAGGCGCCGTCACATCCTGAGGCACCTTACTGGCGGACGCTTTCCGACTCCTCCTGCGCTTCAGTGGTTCTTCATCCTCATCATCATCAGGGAGATCGATAACAACATTGGGTGGGGCTACGGAGAAGAATCAGGGTCAGAGATCGCAAGTCAGTCGACTAAGAACGGCGTTAAGAATACAGTACCTGGTTTCGAAGTTGCTGCGTCCTCCATCTCGTGGTCATCAGCCCGGGCTGAGGTTTCAGAAGTGGCAGCACTGCAACTCCAAAGGATCAGTCGACTAACTTCAGCGTCGACCAGAGACAAAGTTCACACAAAATAAGAAGACTTAAGCAGCACGATTACCCTGATATGGTGGGGATGGACACCTTCATCTTCGGCAGGAGCTTGATCGGCTTCGACGAGGCCGCCCTGGGCTGCTTCGGCGCCTTCTCAGTCGGCACCGGAGAGGTGGTCCAAGGGCGCTTGGTCGACTGAGCGGCGGTCGCAACCCCCTTACCACGTTCGGTCGAAGGGTCGTGGACAAGCTTCGACCGCCTTTCCGAGCGCGGTGGTACGACCTCCTCCTCCTCTTCCTCCTCGTCTTCAACGTCATCTTCATCACCACCATCATCGTCATCATCATCATCGTCCTCTGCAACGTCCGAGTCCCATTCCTCCTCGTCCTGGCTCTCGCCCCCACTCGCCTCACCCTCCTCAGTCGGAGTTTGTGCCCCATTGGGCATCGAGTACAGCTCGGTGAGGGCCTAGCAGATATCAAGACAAGGATCAGTCGACCAGTCGGCAGGGTAAACAGAAATGAATGTGACAAGAACGCAGTGGAGAGTAGAGCAAGTGTACCTTGTTTGGATCACTGTTGTGGTCGAGTGGAGGAATCCTTCTGGCTCCACGTGGGTTGTCCTTGTTTCCGGTAACGGCTACCATCCATCTTTCCAGAGTGACATCGTCGACTGCTTCCGGATGGACTCGAGTCTCGTCTTCAGTCCCACAGTACAACCACATGCAGTGGCTCCGGAACTGCAGGGGCTGGATACGACGCCTAAGGAAGACCTCCAAGAGATCCATGCCCGTCACTCCCTCCCGAACCAGCTGCACCACGCGCTCCATCAACATCTTCACGTCAGCTTTCTCCTCCGGAATCAACTTCAGAGAGGAAGGCTTGTTCACTCGGTCCATGGTAAACTGTGGGAGTCCACTCGACTGCCCCGGCGTCGACTGGTCCTGGCAGTAGAACCAAGTCGACTGCCAGCCTCTGACCGACTCGGGAAAGGTCATGGGCGGGAAGGTGCTCTTATTCCTCACCTGGATCCCCAGGCCCCCACACATTTGGACGACTCGGGTTCTCTCATCACCTGGACTCGCCTTCTTCACGGTCTGAGAGCGACACGTGAATATATGCTTGAACAAACCCCAGTGCGGTCGACAGCCCAAGAAACCCTCACACATGGACACGAACGCGGCAAGATAGGCAATCGAATTTGGGGTAAAGTGGTGGAGCTGCGCTCCGAAGAAGTTCAAGAAGCCACGGAAGAAAATACTCGGCGGCAAAGAAAATCCACGATCAACATGGGTGGCCAAGAGCACACACTCACCCTCTTCTGGCTGGGGCTGCCACTCCTTCCCCGGAAGCCTCGCAGCTCCGTGAGGGATCAAGCCCTCGTTGGCCATGTCGAGGAGGTCTTTCTCTGTGATGGTCGACTGGATCCAGTCTCCTTGGACCCAGCCCTTCGGCAGGCGGGATCTGGAAGAAGACCCTCCGCGGCTGGTAGATCTCCCCTTCGCCTTCTCCGACGCCGACGCCTTCTTCGCACGTTCCAGCGCCGCCGTCTTCTCCTTGGCCATGGTTGCCGGCGAGGTGCGCGTGGGGGAGTTGTGCGGGGGCGAGAGCGAGCGCGCTGAACGGGGACGAAGGGAGCAGAGAGAGAGAGAGAGAGAATGTTGAGGCACAGTACAGAAATCCTCACCGGGCGCATTTATAAGGTCCCTTCCGAGTGGATGACATGTGGGCCCGGTCGATCTAATCATATCAGGAACAGTTATCCAAACGGGATACGTGGCGGATAAAGCGGCGCGGAGATCGAGGCGTCTATGTCCCGTCCCATCCAAACGCCGCGGTCCGCTCCACTTCGCGCGCGTCCCCAAATTTCGCATCCCGCGGAATCCGCGAACAACAGATCAGTCTATCGAGCACGGGGTTTCCGGCTATCCGTCGCTCGGAGATCGTCGAAGCCCGAAAGATCACTCGACAAAAGAAGAGAATGGATCAAGTCGACTGAAGACAAGTTGCACACTGTCGACGAAGAGGTTCTTTGATCCAGAACAGCGCACGACCAGAGCGCAAAGGTTAATCGGAAACGACATCAACTCCTTCTTCACTCGAAGCCTCAATCCATTCGGGGGCTAATGATGGGGTTATGTACCTAGGGTAGGGTCATGGACCTGATCCAAGTAACTTACCCAAGGACATCCTTAGAAGAGGTCACCTTCCAGTCGACCAACGAAGGACTCACTCGACTGGCCTGAAGGACTCGACCACGAAGACTCACTCGACCACCAGGAGGTCAAGAGGCACTCTGCACTGCAACGGCCTGTAATTAAGTAGCCTTTATGATAGTAAAGACACTTTATGTGGGGCGTCACCAGTAACGCCCCAGACTTAACTCACCTTAAACCCTCTCCTACGTGGGCTGGCTGGGGTCCTGGCGCACTCTATATAAGCCACCCCCCTCCACAGGCAGAAGGGTTCGGCACCTTGTAACTCATATACTCATAATCCACTCGACCGCCTCCGGGCTCCGAGACGTAGGGCTGTTACTTCTTCCGAGAAGGGCCTGAACTCGTACATCCCTTGTGTTTACAACCTCTCCATAGCTAAGACCTTGCCTCTCCATACCTACCCCCCCACTCTACTGTCAGGCTTAGAACCACGACATATAATATAAGCAATGCAAGGCGCCATATGCATGATATGACCAACATCAGCATGCCAGGTTAGAGCAAACACCTCAGGTGGTAAACATGCGTGGTCGCACTACACCACAACACTAATGCAAGGACAGAATAACTGCCAAGAGAAGTAACTTAGAATGGCAGGCAAACTGCCGGGAATGGTTTTCTCCCGGCAGATAGAACTGCCACAAGAACGGCTGCCGGGGATTATAATTCCCGGCAGATAAAGATCTCCCGGCAGTTTGTATGCCGTCATGTTCCAATTTCTCCCGGCAATTTCTATTCTCCCGGCAGACTTGTTCTCCCGGCAGTTAATTGTTTTCCCGGCAGATAATATGCCACTGGTACCATATACCCCAATCTATATTATTATTACACTTTAGTATTGCATTTCTTCATTTATTTTACATTTAGATACACACTGACGAGGCATCCATTGAAATAAACCAGAAGGAATCTGCACAAGTACTTCACATTCATATTATAAATTCTGTTCATCAAACATTTACAAGGTTACAATATATGCAATTCACTGATTACATGTGAAGAATTACATCATAATTTAGTATGTGCAGTTTCAAGACGTCCAAGTTGTACAGAATGGAAAATGCACAAAGAGTAAAGCTTGTAAGGTCTTCTAGGTGAGCTCAGAGCATATGGTTACGGCAAGGTATCTTAACCCGTCTTCAGGAACATTTCCAACCTAGACAGTAAGAAAAATTGAAAAATACATGTATAACAAAACATTATCTGCATTACATTGATTTACAACACTCAAAAGAGTCTATTGAGTGCACTATTCCTGTTTTATAAGACATACATCTACAACATCAAGAGAATTTCTAATCAAATTTCCTTTCAAGGCATCAACTGAATATTCAATTTAATAGGAAAATAAAAAATGTCAGCAGTTTCATGCATTGACACATAAATTAAGCACATCTAGTTCACCACAATTACATCATATGATTACCTATGATATAAATTTTAGTTTCCTGTATGTGAAGATTCCATAGAACACCGTCCAAAAAACTGCACATAAGATAAAATAGGAAGTGATTAAAGGAAGTGACATCCACAACTTGTATGAATTTTTGACATCATAGGATCTTGTATTTTGGTATAAACACACAAAGAATCTAGTTCAAGATATGAAATAGTTTCATCCTATGGAAAACAGCAAAACTCAAACATTTTTCTAGCACAAACATGACAGTTGTATAGAAACCAAAATGTTTGGTGTTATGTTGAAGTGGTTTACAACATTATTACTAGTCTTTTGGGCTCCCAGTCACATGTGTCAATGTTCTTATCCAATGTACTAGCACTTTCTGCAAAAAAAATAGAACAAGTTAGATGTCACAAAGATGGTGCTGTTTCCAGTCTTACATGGTCAATCAGTTGGAAAACATATATGCAGAACACCTATTTAATCACAAATTGAGTGGCCCGAGACATGCAACAAAATAGATGCGTCGTTGACAGAACACCTGTTTCTACTAGTATTGATTTTAGACTTCCAGTGTGTATCTATAGCAAGATTCCTGTTGAGTACAAAATATTGAACAGTAATGCCAGGTCTAACCACTTTACACATGGAAAGGTACATTTCTCCTAAACAATGCAATCCGGTTATAACTTAATTAGTCTATGAAAGATGATGCAGGACCATAGAGATAATCCAGGATGTGATTCCATTTTGCTTGTCTTAACGAAAAAGGAGCATTAGATCAAGGAAAAAGAAGTATTGGACTATGCGTAGGAATACAAGTGAAGGCAACACCTATGCTATTCATAAATGATTCTACGACTGGCAAACCAAGACACTGTTTCAAGTACTTGCCCAATAACAAAAGACTAAGCTTTAGAATACACAGGACATGCAAAAGCTTAGTTCCTGGACACATGCGCACACTGGACATGTAAAAGGTTCCACTAATTGTATGCATAAAAAGGTTATGCACATTCAGGACAAGCATAGTTTGTATCTTTACTGCAGTTTCATTTGCATGAAGCACATAGGAAACAAAATTCTAAATAAAGTTTCAATGTTCTGAAATAGCAACAAGCATGTATCCGAAAGCAAAATACTAAATCCAAGACTTAACTACCAAGATAAACAGCCGCCCACACCTCACCCACGCTAATATGCAATGGTATCTATCTATTATATACTAAAAGGAAAATAGGGATCAAGAATAGAGGATTTACTAGAAATTCTCACATTAATTAGACACATCGGACCGTTAGTTTGGTGGACCCTCCATTAATGAGTAAATTACGACCATTAGAAAGGCGGACCCACACCAATTTTGATGTATGATGTCCTGGACTTGAACTCTTGATTAGTTCGGTAGATAAAAAGAGATCATTTTTAACTCTGCTTGCGTGACAACAAAACAGCGGCGTCCGTGGTTATCCAGGAAATAAAAGAGCAGCGTCCCATAGAAAAAAGCAGTGGCAACTATGTTCATTCACAAAGGGAAAAAACAGCGGCAAGGGCATGGTCAACATGCCATATCGTGGGCGTTGTAGGCGGTGAACTTCGATCAAAAAGGAAAAGAAAAGAAGGAAGTAACGGCTCGCTCAATACGGCATGCCGTGGGCGTAGTAGGCGGGCACTCATCACGGCTCATAGTTGCATACTCCTGTTGAGGTCCGACCCCACTGAAGAACGCATGATAATCACACGATGCGCCGATGTGCAGCATGAACACACTCCAGACCCTCGATGCCCAAGATAAAGAAACACTAGCAGAAGAAATCAGAATTCCAGGTAGAATAAGCATAATATCTCCTTTAAATATCAATTATCGAGGTCAACTATCATAGAATGGATGTCAGTTCCATTATTACTTTTATGAAGCAAATCAGGCAGTCCTTTCTATATGAGAACAATCTCATTCTGATATCCATGAATTCAGAAAAGCACCCAAAGATATGACTTGCCATATTTTTCTCCTAGTAGAAACAATTCATCTCAAGCAATACCCCAACCTGCAATAGCTACAACAAAGACAATGTTTTTTTAGAAGCAAATCCCAGTGATAAGAAAGTTAAATACGTGAGATAAGCACATACCATCATCTTCCACTTTAATGTAACATCCTCTGACATTTACTGAAACATCGATCTGAAATAGGTATAGGTATATACAAAATGTCAATACATGAGGTAAGCATATATCCTTTTTTTCGAATGCGAAAGTGATAACCAGTATAGAAAATACAAGCAGAAATGTGGATTGTTTGGCATTTATTTTCCAGTAAAAAGCAATACCTATCCAGATCAGTATAGCATATAGAGATTATTTTTCCTACATGTGAAAGGAATACCTTTTAATCATTTGTGTCGCTGCTATTATATGCCAACTCCTCAACGACCCTTAGGAGGTCAGACAATATAATGCTTGAGTGCAAGGAGCTGTGGACTCTTTTCGGCAAGCGTTTAATGCTATGCATCGACGTGTTCTTGTAAAAAAAGAGCTTAGATCAACCAATGGTTAAGAATAAAGTGTACCGAAGCAGGCAGCGTCAAAAAATTATTCCAGGAACTTCAGAAAATTAACTAACTTGTTGGTATGCTACTTCATCAAGTGAGGACTGATCACGATGTGAGATTACAGTGGCGGTTCGATTATTAAGGCATGGTTCATAGGAAATGTGCGTGTAGACAACCAACCAACAAGGTAAGAAACATATTGTTTTTCTTTCCTCTGTATCATAAGATACATATCATTCAGGCTGCAACTCAAAAAATCAACCCCTCCTCACAAGCAAACCACCCTTGCAGGGCTTCTATTATCTGGTGCAGATGCCCTGCATGGTCCAACAAGCCCAATTAAGTGCAGTGTGTGATAGCCTGATGGCAGTGCCAGCCACTTACGACATTCCTTTCTACAATTATTTTCTGCCCAGTGCAATGTTTCATGCAGGTTGAGAATTCAGATAGGGCACCACTGAACTGCTATGAAACAATTCGATAGATGATAAATCAGGGAAGTAAAAGTAGTTAATTTTGTAGAGCAATTTTCAATATCAAATCAGCACTCATGTCTATAATTTAGTTCTTGTAGATGCTAGCACAAGAAACTTTCTAGAGTTGTATACAGTCAGCCATTAGTGAGTAAACTTTCTCAAGCTGTGAAACACTTGCCTTCAGTTGTGCAATGTCTGAACCTGAATAAACAAAGACCCGTCCACATCGCTAAAATTGGATGGATAGAAGAACATTACATTTTACAAATCATAGGCACATATACATGCATATTAACTTATTAAGATAAGAAAATGAAATACAAGAGTACGTGTACAATAACCTGGCTGATAGCCTTTGCAAATCATGAGCATTATGAATTCCAAACAAACCTACAACTGCTAGAACCAATCCCCAATCCTTTCACTGGTAGCACCTGCATCAATTTAGTAGCAAAATAAAAAATAAGTAGCAATAAGAAAGACTTGGAGCCAAGTAGTGACTCAGTGGAAGGTAGGGAAAATGTGCAGCAAGGAGAAGATAAGGCGAAGCATCTTGTGAGTTTTCATCGAGCAGAAAAGGAGAGCTTCTTTGTATAGAAAAAGCACACCTGCATCGCGTTTCCTCCATGACAGATCTGAGCACCATGTTGTACTAGCGTATTGGGGAGCAGACACCGCGCTCGTCGTCAGGGTGGTGGGAGACGTGGTGGGGAGCAAGGCGACGTCGACCTCGACGCACCGGACCCGTTGACCAGCCCTTGTGGCGGTGCCGAAGGGAGCGAAACCAGAGGCGTGTGGAGGGAGGCGAGGTTGACCTCTACGCAGCGGCGTCATCGATATGGGTGGGGGTCGCACAGGTCAGCGGAGGGAGTCGATGGTGGAGGGCGCGTTCGAGGGCAGAGGGGTCGGTGGTGGAGGGCGCGGTCGAGGGCAGAGGGAGTGTCAGCGGCGGCGGCGGCGGTGGAGGAGGAGGGATCTCGAGGGTTCGATTTGGGGAAGAACTCGTTGGGGACGGCGGCTAGGTCTTTTGAGCAAAAAAAATAATCTTTTTTTAAGTTTTCAGTCTATCGCGCGTTCCCGAGCCACCACACGTTTGGGCCCAATTGTTTTTGGTCTCGCGCCATGGATAGCCCGGCAGATAGTGGGCCAGGGTTTAATTGTGCCGACAGATTTGATGCCCTGAAACGTGGACAACATTTCCGGCAGTGCACATGCCCTTGGTACTCAAGTTCTCCCGGCAGTTTTACTGCCCTTAAGTATTTCTGTTGGCAGTAACTAGATTCCCGGCAGATATTTTGCCCTTGTTCTACTATTTCTCCCGGCAGTTAATTGCCCCTAATTAAGTGTTGTGGTGTAGTGTCGGCTTCTTCTGAATCTCCATCTGAACAGTTATCTTCCTCTTGAATACAATCTGGAAATGCAGGAGGGGTGGGGGGTGCACTTCGCCCACCATGGAGCGGCGTCTACATGACATTATATTCGCACGCAATAGTCTTCTCTTTTTCTCTACATGTTCAGTACGATTGTGTACAATATCTGACATGCATAATAAAAAAATAGTTAGATTTTGTAAGGCCTAAGGGGTGCATGCAAAAATCAAGACTGATGGTAGCAAACGAGTGAATGGATCCAAAACTAATGATAGCAGGCAGATTATAACTTCAGTTTAAAAAGATAGACAATGGATCATCTATTGTTTGTTGCCCACCCAACATGAACCACATAGAAGACCCATATGAACCATATAGTAGACAGATACTATTTGTTGCTGGCTCGATATGAGACCCATGGGCAATTCAAAACTCAAGATTGAACGATAAAGTAGCAGATAATAATAACCGATGTATAACATAAGCAAACACGAAAGACTGCGACCTCTCTTCCGGAACTGTGTAGTCCTCAGGTTCATCTGCTCAAGTCGACGATGGTAATGCAGTTGGCGTGGCTGCCGGCAACGGGGAAGATGATCTGAGGCGGCGAAAGAAAGTCTGCAGGGGGGACCTCTGCTGCAGTGAACGCTTCTGTCGATGGTGCACCTCGGGTGGGGTGGATGACGGCATGGCAGGAGCAGGACATAACACACAGAGTTTTCTTTGACGCATATCTGAAAATGAAGTAAATCTGTAAGGGCTCCTTAGAATTGGAGGATTCTATAAATGCAGGGACAGGAAAAACACAAGAATATGATAGGAATGCATGTGCAAAACAGAGCATTTAGAAACATAGGATTTCAGTCAACCTGGGTGTTTGGCTCACATGAATTGGAAGAACAGAGGAATGGAGAAACAAAGTGATGCGACGAGTGTACAACCTCTTTGGCATAGCCTTGTGGACCTCAGCATCATTGGGTACGTGGAGGATGGTGATGATGCTGGTGTGACTGTCAAAGGCGGGGAAGAAGATCTGAGGCCTCTGGAAACAGCGCCGAGGGTACTGCTGCGCTGTGATGGACGGTTCCGTCGTTGGAGCAGCTCCGCTAGGGTGTACGGCGACGAGGCTGAAGCATGACAAGACAGACAACGTTAATCTGAAGTGGGACCCTAATATCATCTGCAATAGATGATGTAAAATACATCACCAAAAAGTGCTAGATGTAAAACGCATCAGCCGCGCCACGACTGCTCCGACAGATGCTGTAAGTACTGTTCACTCTGAACTTAATTGAAGAAAATGAACTTCATAGTCGAAACTGAATTTTACTGTCGAAACTGAATGAACTAGTAACAGAGCATTGCAATAGATGTTTAGGGCGTTCGAGCACTAGTAGTAGAGAAGTAGTGATCTAAATCAGCAGATGCTCGAGGAGGGAACGCACTAGCAGAGAGCAAGTCGTGCAGTAGCACTACGAGCGAGTGCTAAAGCAGCAACTCCTGTAGTTGCCAAAGGTCGTGCAGCAGTAGCAGCAGCACCGCAAGCGAGAGCAAGAGCAGAGCAGCAGCACGAACGAAAGCAGGAGCAGTGCAGCAGCGCGACCGACAACAAGAACAAAGCCGCAACGCGAG